ACAGTGTCCCCACCACCAAGTGCCTAATTGGAAACTTGTTCAAACATTTTATTATGGCTTAACTGAGCCACACCGCCAAATGATGGATTCGTCCTGTGGTGGGACATTTATGTCTAAAAATGATGCCGAGGCATGGCAATTGTTTGAGAACTTAAGTGATAATTCCCTTCACCATGCCTCCGCAGCCCGGCAAGTCCGGCAACCCATGGTTGGAGCCCCGAAAAGAGGGGGCATTTATGAGGTCGGGCAAAACCTAGAGTTAGCCCAAAAGTAGAGGCACTGTCCCGCAAGATGGACCAATTATTAGCTACGGGACATGCCCCTACCCAGCAAGATCAGCCTCAATTCCGTGAGGCATGTGTTATATGTGCGAGCCCTGCTCATGACTTGAGTGAGTGCCCTTCGGCATCACAATTTCCGGAGTTAGTCCAAGAGCATGTAAATGCAACTCAAGGATTCTCCAACCCGAGTAATGATCCATACTCCAACACATACAATCCGGGGTGGAGAAATCACCCTAATTTCTCATAGAGACCCCCTACACAAAGCACTTCTTACAATCCGCCACCACCAAGGCAGAATTTCAATAATTTTGCCAACCAATCAACCTACCGACCACCGCAACCTTATCGACCCCCACAACCGTACCGGCAACCACAACCCCCGCCTGTTCCTCAGGGCAACTCTGTCTTTGAGACTCAGGTTTTGGAAGTTCTCGCAGAACTTAAGGGGTTAGCACCGGTAGTTCACTCCCATACTCACTCTATTGCCAAGCTAGAGGCCCAATTGGGTCAAATGGCTAATAACATGAATCGAAGAGAGGAGGGAAAATTACCAAGTCAAACTGTGGCCAACCCTAAGGGACAATACGGGGCAGAGAGTTCGGGTGGGAATGGTAAGCAACATGAGCAAGTGCAGGCGGTGGTTGCTTTTAGAAGTGGTAGGGAGTTAGAGCCTCAGTCAGTTGCGTCTGATGCAAGTAGAGTTAGGAAGGGTGACCACGGTGGTTCACCTAGGGAGAATAAGGGTGAGGGGGAAACACTTAAGAGGGATGACTTAGTCCCTAACACTTCATTTGAGCCCAAGGCACCATATGTGCCTAAGGCACCCTTTCCCCAGTGCCTTGATACACCGTCCCCTTTTAATAAGAAGGCGGCATCTATGGAGGCAATGATGGAGGTCTTTGAACAGGTAAAAATCAACCTCCCCCTGTTGGAGGCGATTAAGCAAGTACCATCATATGCCAAATTTTTGAAGGACCTTTGTACGCAAAAAGCGTAAATCTAGGACACATGTATCCCAAAAGGTCCTACTCACGAAGCAAGTAAGCTCCATCTTGTTGAATGACACACCTCCTAAGCTTAAGGACCCAGGTGCCCCAACCATTGCATGCATTATAGGGGACCACTTCATTGATAGGGCCTTATTGGATTTAGGGGCTAGTGTTAATTTGTTGCCGTACTCTGTGTACGAGGAATTTGGGCTTGGCGAGTTGAAGCCCACGACTGTTACTCTTCAGTTGGCTGACCGGTCCCTCAAAGTGCCACGTGGCATGATTGAGGATGTGCTAGTTAAGGTTGATAGGTTCTACTTCCCTGTTGATTTTTTGGTATTAGATATGGAACCGGTAGCCAGTTCTAGGAAACAAATCCCAGTGATCTTAGGTTGACCTTTCTTGGCTACGGCCAATGCGTGCATTAATTGTCGGACCGGGGTTATGGAAGTTTCATTTGGTAACATGCAAGTGAAACTTAATGTTTTCCAAGCATCACAACAACCTCATGAGAGAGAGGAGTGCTTATTAGTGGATGTTGTGGATGAGATTGTTGAGAAGGCTTTGCCCTCCATTCTTATAGAGGACCCTTTAAAGGCTTGTCTAGCTCATTTTGGGTTTGAAAATTTTGATATAGATGGGTCAGTTGAGGAGGTGAATGTCTTGATTAATTCTTCTTCTACACCGGATTTTCCTCCATGGAAAGACCGGTTTGAGTCACTTCCTCCTCTGTCGAGAGAGCCTACCACACAATCTTTGGTCACACCACCTACACTTGAGTTGAAGCCACTCCCGGCCACACTCAAGTATGCATTTTTAGGGCCCCAAGATACTTTACCGGTCATCATTGCATCTGACTTGACTGCAGCGCAGGAGAGTCAGTTAATGAGTGTTCTCGTGGCACATCGGAGTGCTATAGGGTGGTCAGTGGCTGATTCGAAAGGGATAGATCCCTCCGTGTGCATGCATTATATACACCTAGAGGAGGACTCCAAACCTTCTCGCGAAATGCAACGGAGACTGAATCCTAATATGAAAGAGGTGGTGAAGAAGGAGGTTTTGAAATTGTTGGATGCGGGTATTATATACCCCATCTCAGATAGCAAGTTGGTGAGTCCCACACAAGTAGTGCCCAAGAAATCGGGCATCACTGTTGTTGAGAATGAAGGAGGAGAGTTAGTCCCCACACGAACCACTACTGGGTGGCGAGTGTGCATTGATTATAGGAGACTAAATTCCTCGACTAGGAAGGACCATTTTCCCTTACCTTTCATTGACCAAATCCTAGAGCGGTTAGCGAGGTAGGGTTTCTATTGTTTTCTTGATGGCTATTCGGGGTATAATCAAGTCCCGGTGTACCCCGCTGACCAAGAAAAGACCACATTCACATGCCCTTTTGGCACTTTCGCTTACATCCTTTGGGCTATGTAATGCACCGGCGAGCTTTCAACGGTGTATGATGGCCATTTTCTCCGACATGGTGGAGAAATTCTTAGAGGTTCTTATGGATGACTTTTCGGTGTTTGGACCGTCTTTTGAGGAATGCCTTAGGAACTTGACTAGAGTGTTAGAACGATGTACTGAGGCAAACCTAATCTTGAGTTGGGAAAAGAGCCATTTTATGGTTCGTGAGGGTATAGTGTTGGGACACATTGTGTCCCCTCGAGATATAGAAGTTGACAAGGCTAAGGTTGACCTCATTGCAGGTCTTCCTCCACCCAATTCCGTGCGTCAAATTAGGTCTTTCCTAGAGCATCCAGGTTTTTACCGTAGGTTCATCAAAGACTTTAGTAAGATATCACGTCCTTTGTGTAGTTTACTAGTTAAGGACGCGCCTTTTGTCTTTGATGAAGCATGTTTAAAGGCATTCGAAACACTAAGAATGGCCTTGACCACCGCCCCAATCATGAAATCACCAGATTGGTCTCTTCCCTTTGAAATCATGTGTGATGCCTCCGATTATGCTGTCGGGGCTGTGTTGGGCCAAAGGGTTAATAAGGCACCATTTGCTATATATTATGCTAGTCGCACTCTCTCGGATGCTCAATTGAACTACACTACTACCGAGAAAGAGTTGCTAGCTGTGGTCTTTGCCTTAGACAAATTCCGGTCTTATCTCCTAGGTTCCAAGGTCATAGTCTTCACTGATCATACCACTTTGCGGTATTTACTATCTAAGAAAGAGACCAAACCTAGGTTGGTTAGATGGATTTTGTTGCTTTAGGAATTTGATTTAGAGATCCGTGATAAGAAAGGATCTGAGAATGTAGTGGCGGATCATCTCTCCCAAATCCTCGTTGAGTATAATAGCGACCTTCTTATTTTGCATGATTCGTTTCCGGACGAACAACTTTTTGAGCTGTCACAAGCGTGCCCCCCGTGGTTTGCACATATTGTGAATTACTTTGCCATTGGGCAAACTCCGCAGAATTGGTCTGAGCAAGACAAAGACCGATTCTTTTCACAGGTCAGGTATTACTTTTGGGAGGATCCGGAGTTGTTTAAATATTGCTCTGACCAAGTGATCCGACGGTGTGTGCCGGAGAGTGAGGTGCATAGCATTCTTACATTTTGTCATTCTTCTGCATGTGGCGGTCATTTTAGTGGGCATAAAACGGCCGCCAAGATTTTACAAAGCGGGTTTTATTGGCCCACAATTTTTAAAGATACCCATCAATTTTGTAGAACTTGTTTGCGCTGTCAGCAAATGGGTTGATGTCTCGGCGTGACATGATGCCAATGTCCCCTTTTCTTGTGGTAGAAATATTTGATGTTTGGGGAATTGATTTTATGGGCCCTTTCCCGTCGTCATTCGGGTTTGAGTACATTCTGTTGGCAGTAGATTATGTGTCTAAGTGGGTGGAGGCAATAACTACCTGAACAAACGATCATAGAGTGGTAATCAAATTTTTGCATGAAAATATCTTTAGTCGTTTTGGGTTTCCTAGAGCCATAATAAGTGATCAGGGTACACATTTTTGTAACCGGTTCTTTGAGTCGGTAGTTAAGAAATACTCTATCACCCATAAAGTTGGCACTCCATACCACCCTCAAACTAGTGGCCAAGTAGAAGTCTCAAATAGGGAGGTAAAATGATACTATTATTGCTTCAATTTTCTGGTTAGAGTTTCCATTTCATATTTTTCATCTCTTTGGAGATATGTTTACTCAAAAAATCGTAATAGCATATTTAATATTCATAATGAATATCAAATAAGACAATCAACCAACATAGCTAAATTATAATGATTGTTTTCGATGTATGGGTTGATTATTCGTAATGACAGTGAATAGATACTGGCCATATAGATATAGCATCTATACGAAACACCCTTTTAGTTGGGTCTTTTTTTTATTTAATTTATCTACATGACAGGTTATTCTATTTGATATCATGCTAGGTAGTCAGAAAACATTTGTTAAGAACTTAATTAAGGGTTTATGTTTTTAGATAGTTTTGTTTTAAATTGTTTCGGGACGCTCTAATCTTGCAATGAGACATATTTAAAAGTTTCAAAGAGTTTGTGAAAAATGCTACAGTAGTTTGCTATTTTTCTTAAGTTGTTTATAAACATGTAGCTCTCATTTAAGGCCCTGTTGTCCCTCCTCCATGTTACTTTCCATAGTCTTATATTTCCTATTTTGTGTTAATTTCTAAGCATTGTTTGACAAGTTTGCATAAATGACCAAAATGTTATTTTTTATGTGGTCCATATGAAGCTAGTTTTAAGGATGATATCTTTCTTATGAAACATCTTGTAGCTCTTCAATTCATTGGACTCTAATTCATAGTTGTAAGTTTAAAATCCTTGAGGTAGAAGAAGCTCAGGTTTTAAGGGCCCTTGCCTTCTTTCCCAAAATCTCAGTTTTCATTTTCACACCCTTCTTTGCCTTTCACTGATGAAACCACCTTTTTTTTTATATTATTTTTTTTACTTTTCACTTGCAATTAATACAGGGAAATATTCTTTATCGATTTCCATCACTACAACGTACAGCTTCTCCTCAGAGGAGTGGAAGGAAGGAATATCTTTTCAGGTATCAAACTCTGAATTTATTGTTCTACATTTCAATTTTTCACATATTACCATATGTATATTTATATGTTCTTCATGTTGATCATGTTGAATTTTTTTGTAAGCTTGTCTTAAAACCTTACAGACTAGTAGATTTTCAAATCATATTTGAATTTATGGGGTTGGTGAAATCAGATCTTCGAGCATTTAACCATTTTACTATTGCAGTATTGTTGTCCATTGCGAGAGTCCGGAAGTTTAGTGAGTGTTCAATCGGAATTTTGAAGACAACAATAACTACATCATACCGTGATTACAGTTTTTCCAAGTAAGGGTTGAAGGGTATTAAGTTCTATCTCATGTTTAAAGTTAATATAGTACAGTGGTAGTAATGTTGTATCCCAAATTCAAATGGGTTTTTGTGGTGCTAATATGTTCCATGGAAATTAAAGCTATCCAATTTGTTGAAATATGATTTTAGTGGAATTTAATTTGAAATTCCAGACTTTGTTGAGTTGAGCTGAATCAGGTTTGTGGGATTTTTAATTGAGTTCATCACGGCATGGATGGTAATCAAATGTAGTTATCTTGTATTCCAGGAAGCATGTTTAATTGGGTTAGTTTTGTAGGGTTTAATTTCATGTACTAGTGGCCAATTAGTTTGAATTGTTGTGATATCATTGCCATATTAATGTAGTGGCTTTTATTTCAGACATTTGATGTTTGTCACCTGTTGCGGGATTGGTGTTTAGGTGTATGATTTTGTGACTTGGAGAATTGTCGGTGTGTCTTGATAATTTAGCTAATGATGGTTTCAAAGGATGCACATTTTAATTTTAAATTTTTTGTTTTAGTCTAGTTTTAATATAATCCTTATTTTTCAGGGTTTGTAATTGGCTACCGGATGACTTGAAGGAAGAATATGTGCATAGTGTGAAAGTAGTGGAGAAGGCGGTGTTGAGAGCTGTAATTTTTCCTTGTTTTTCCATTCTGTTCATTTGAAATCATCTGTGCCATGGCAGACATGAAGATGTGAATAAGATATATGTTCTTATTGCTAAACTTTAGTGAGATGATGCTAGTGATGCCCTTTCTTCTGTTAGCTTTATATTATTGTTTAGTTAGTTTTTCTTGTACAATGTATGACAGCAAAAAGAAAAAAATGGAAGATCATTTTCATATTTTTAATTATGGATGAATTTTTATTTATATACTGGACTTTTTATATTATTATGTAATTATCGATTTTTTTTAAAGTTATTTTTCATTTAATACAGGTCATTTTCATAATTTTAATAATTTTATTTCATTTTTTTTTTTTTTTGGAGACGGCAGCACACACCGTCTCAAAAAAAAAATTGAATCAGGATTTTTTGCGACGGCACCTTTACTGTCGCAAAAGATAGGGAATTGGTTGAAATGTAATGCCTTTAGCGACGGTTTTATTGCTGTCGCCAATAGTCCTTTAGCGATAGCTCAGGGCTGTCTCAAATAAACCTTTAGCGACGGTATTTTTTGCCGTCGCAAAAGACATTTTTAGCGACGGCAACACAGTGCCGTCTCAAAAAAAACTCAGATTTTTACATGTTATTTGCGACAGAATTTTTCCGTCGCAACCTTTTTGCAACCCCCTTTGTTGCGACCCCCCCTTGCCGTCGCAAAAAGTCACTGACCGTTGCAAAAAACCTTTTGAGACGGCGTTTGAAGTATTTGCGACGGCGTTTTGCCGTCGCAAAAAACCAATTTTTTTGTAGTGGTTGAAGTTTAAAAGTTGAAATAATTAGTTTAAAAATAGTTACAAAAATTAATATTCGTAATTTGAACTATTTTTATTATGTGGGGTTCGATATAATATTATATAAATATTAATAAAAATGATAATAAATAAGATTCCACCAGCACAAATATTAATTCATAAATTGGACTTACAGTCCACAGAGATTATACTTCTACAAAATTAAACTTACACCCTCACACAGATTCAACTTGCATCACATTCAGGCTAAACTGGCGTCCCAGATAGACTGGACTTGCACCCTATATATACTTGACTTACACACGACAAAAATTAGACTTGCACTCAGGCACAGATTGAGCTGAAATATATTATGGACTTGTACTCAGGCACAAGTTGAACTTGCACCCTGCTCAAATCTATCAATCAATATATTATATAAGTAAAATGGGATTTTCATGAGGAGTATTATGGGAGCTCCAAAACCTCAAAATAAATTTGTAGATTTATTGGATTAAAAAAAATAAATTTAAAAAGTTGTATTGGCTAATCTATTAAAGTAATAGTTTTCAAAATATTAATAATTCCATAATTTATAGTTTTCAAAGAAAAATAAAAAAATATTCTATATCTTTCCAACCTAATCCTCTCTTACTGATTTTTATTTCTTTTAAAAAAATTAAAACTTTCTTTTTACTATATTACTATAGTATTCATTCCATATATGACTTAGACTACACTCAAATCTTTAAAATTCATGATAAAAATTAAAAAAATTAAAAAAATTTTGATTTAATTATACACATTTAATTTCTTTTGTACAATTTTTTTCCACTTTTTAAATTTGTTTTGTACACTCATATGTACTAATATTTATGCCAAGTTATAAATTTTTTCAATACATGTGATGGGTGTGAAAAGAAATGTTTATAATTATAAGCACCTTCCTATTAGCCACATTCATTGATTTTGTTTTGAAAAAAAAAAAAATTTCTATATCTCATCAATTTAATTCTTTAGTTAATGGATTTTCACACTATTAAAAGACAATTTTTTTAATATTTTTTATAATGGTAACTTCATTTCACAAATAATTAATTATTTTTAAAATATTAAAACATTTTATGTGAAAATTTGTATTAAATAAAAATTTAATAAACTTTAAATTGAAAATTATGATTTGTTTTGAGACTTCACTTTTTTGATCAAGTTCTATACTAAAAATAAAATTTATGAACTCGCTTAATTTGATCTTAAATAATTTTTTAAATGTAAATATAATTTAATATTAGACATATTTTATGAATAAATATATAATTTCTTAATTGAAGTTTTAGAATATTAATAAATATGCCAAATATATATTCATATATTTTTAGTTTGATTATAAAAAATTTTACAATATTTTTACCATTTTAAAAAATAAATAAGTGGGCAATGTGCTAGTTGGGCATAAACCAAAACGGTTATCTAAAAATTGGATTGATTTATAGCATAAAAATTAACCAAATCTAGTTTCTACATTATTTTTAGTGTTTGATCCAGTATTACCTCATACTCATCATAACTTAATAAATTATTAGACATAACTTTAAATTGATTATTATTAACTTTTTTAACTAATTAATTGATCAATTTTTAAATCGACCTCAAGGTAGAATTAGAACAAGCTCTATATTTTAGGTCGACCCAGTATTATATAAGTTTTTCATACATAAATATATTTAATTATTTGTGCAATAATTTTTAATATAAATATATAAATTCTGTAACATATATTTATTCTCCAATTCAATAAATAAATGAGTTAAGTGGCTCATATTTAGGCATAGAGTAAAACAATTTTCCAATAATTAGGTCATGTCCAAGTTGTGATAAATATTGAGTCAATTAAATTATGTCACTCTTACCGTCTAGCACAACTACAATATCCAAAAGCTAACTTTTATATATTTTATTATAAAAAATACTAATATATATTTATTCACCAATTTAATAAATAAATGAATTAAGTGATTCTTACTTAGGTACAAAGTAAGACAATTCTCTAATAATTAGGTCATGGCTAAGTTGAGATAAATATTGAGTCAATTAAATTATGTTACTTTTACCATCTAACACAATTATAAATCCTCAATAATTTTAAATATAAATATAAAATTTTATCAAAGTTTTAATTTTTTTTTAATAACTATGCATAAATATGTACATATTTATTATTTTTTTTCAATTTATATTTTAATAAAAAAAAACACTAAAAAATCATCTAAACAAACCCTTACCCCATCATGGAGGCTCTTATTTCTTGGTGGTTTAATTTCAATTTCAAGAAGATTAGAAAATTCACGTGATATATATTTTTTCAAAAATGTTAAAAATTCTAAATATTCTATCAAAAAGTCTATCAAACACTTATAGCGATTCCAGTTTTAACACGACTCTTTTGTATCTTGGACTCGAGTTTCGTAGTTTCGTAATGTTGTTCATGTCTTTTTCCGCTCATACTTCCTTGAGTTTGGCTATTAGATTGTAATGGTTGCGTTTGGAACAGGTTGGCTGCTTGGTTTTCAAACGTTTCCCAGAATTTTACTCCTCCGCTCAAGCGACACTTTTTGTGCTCGAGTGGGCTTGGTAAACCCTCAGTACTTTTACAGGTCTACAAAACTACTGCAAGAGTGTAATCTATGCTCTAGTGGTGCTTTTTATGCTCGAGCAGTCTTAGCTCGAGCGGTCTTTCTTGTGCTCGAGCCTTGGTCTGTTGTCTGCAAAACTACTGAGAGTGTGCATTCTGTGCTCGAGCATCACTTCTTGTGCTCAAGCGGAACAACTTGTTGTGTCTAACGCTCGAGCGCCACTTCTTGCACTCGAGTGGACTGTGCGTATATCAGTTCGTAAAAGTTACTTTTTCACATCTTTCTTTCTCTAAACATTTCAAAAACCTTAAATCTAGAGTTTCTCTCTCTAAAACTCATATTCTCTCTTCCAAAACACCTAGATCCATTGGGTTCTCGACCTTAGTGTCTTTGGGAAAAATGTACAGTATCTCAAGAGCTCAATTTTGGTCCGAACAAAACTTGATTTCGGCATCTTTGAAGTTCCTCCATTGTTTCCTTGATCTCTAGCTTCGAGGAAGGGACTTTCTACACTCTTCTATGAGTTTAAACTTAGTTATTTGTTGATGTGTAAAGAATATTGGAACTTTAGGATGATTTTGAACAAACCTAGGGTTTTAGTTTAAAATCAAAAGAGGGGTTTCAAATGTATGTATTAAAAATGGTTATGAGAGTAGATGTGAGGTTGTGTTGTGATAAATTTGTTGATTTTGATAGCTGGGGTGGATTTTGGAAGAAAAAAAAGTTTTTTTTTTTAAAAAATGTCTCAAATAGTTATTTTGTATAAATAAATGAAATTGGTATTGGGAATATAAAATTAGATGAATGTTTATATAAATGGTGGAGTTTGATATGTGTTACCTCTCACTTATGAAAATTTGGATAATTTATCTGTCTTGAAAATTGTATATTTGTTTAGAAATATCTGTTTTGGGTTATTAGCGGAGGATAGATATGATTGTTGTAGAAATTGTAAGAGGGTTAGGTGAATTGAAACTAATCTCTTATTCGTTGTCATTGAATATGACTATGTCTTTGATACATTGTAAATGTATGATGTTTGAGAGAAGAAAGGGGATATACTCCATGTTTGGGAGAAGAAAAAGAATGGACTCCATTAAGTTAAGTTGACTTGTGTGTTCAGGATGAAAGTCCTAAAAATCGCGCGTATATATGAGTGTCAATTCTTGCAGACGAAATATTCGTAAAATGGCAAAATGGAAGTATTTGTATAATGGATGTGTTAGTTAGAGATCCACTGAGTTGTACCCTCAGTTTGGTTGTCTGAATAAAATAGTGAAATGACATATGAATTGAGATAAAATGAATTGAGATATAAAACTCAACATGGCATGGTTTTGTGAAAAAATTATAAATACTTTTATCATCGGTATTAGACATGCTTATCATACTTATATTTTTGTTAAGATTAATACATTGTGTTAGATTGTTTCTACTGGGTTTTGACTCACCCTATTTGGGAAAAATCATTTTCAAGTGTCGGTGATATGCCTCCACCAAGATAGTAGCTTGGAGGGATTTAGAGTAAGAGCTTCTCTTTTGTTGTATTTATTTTGCATAGCTAAGGGCTTTAATTGTGTCGAGCTAGACTCATTTTCATTGTAACCAAGCAGTGACTTGGAAAGATGTAAGCCTTTACGGTATATGAATATCTGTTTAGCCTTCGTTCCTTTTTATTACCTGCAATTCATGCT